TGAGCATTGAATCAAATCTACAACTTGAAATTCTTTGAATGCCAACTGAATTAAAAACCCTGTAAGTGATCAGAGTTACAGATCTTTGATAAAGTAACATGATAAAGGACTTTGACCTTACCCAGAAGATACGCTCAAACATCGTACCCTTCTCTTATAAATATCCAATATAGCCTTCTTCCTTAATAAGGCTTGGTATTTAGATATGCATAGTTGCAAACAACTTGGGGCATCTTTTGTATATGACAATTACTATACTTTTTGTTCAAGACGTTCAGTGATGATAATGATCTTCACAGATGGAATAGTTGAGTAAGCAAATCTAGTTTAGGTCAGTTGCATGGAAATTGAATTCTAAGGATGAGATTTCTTAACTTTCAACAACACCTAGACTATAACAAGTTCTCTTTGACAAACTTAAGAAATTGGATCCGTATACCCAAATTATAATATTATATATATATAATAAAGCTTGATTTGTCCTATAAAGCAATTGGTTAAACGCCCCGTCTTTATGGATAAGATTCAGCTAGCCTGATAAAGGTGATTATAATATACAATAAAGTTTGAGTTGTCCCTCTAGAGCAATTAGTTAAACACCCCGGCTTTATGGATAATATTCAACTAGCCTGTAAAGGTGATTATAATATCTATACAATGATATTAGGCTATCCCTCTAGAGTAATTGGTTAAGCGCCCTGGCTTTATGGATTCAGCTAGCCAGACAACGGTGAATTTAAATAAGGAGTTTCGGTAAAAATGGACTAAGGGAGTTACGGAACACATGTTATAGTCAAATTCACACGAGCACTCAAGAATTTTATTTTTAAACCGATATTTTTACACTACCTTTATTAGAGGAGCTTACAAAGCTTGAAAAAATGGAAGATTTTAGAGGACCGAAATAGAAGGTCTAGTAATTGGTCATGCTAGTTGCGTCATTTTGTCCGCATCTAATTAATATGTCAAACCAAAGAAAAAACATATTGCAATAACAAAAAAATTGATATTTTTTTTGTCAGCTGAAACCTTAGGTCAACCTAAAGCCAACTCATCCACTTGAATATTTGTCAAAGAGCTATAATTCTGAAAGCATTAAAAGAGCTATTGATTCATTTGATATTCTTTGAACTCATGTTTATGATTTGATTCGATTTGATTGCGAGTCTGAATTAAAGAGAAATGTTTTACAGAATTCTTCTATTTTCATATCTTTTTTTCCCTCTTAAATAAGAGAAATGAAAATATATTTTCAAACAGGACAGTCTCAAATGTGAAAGGCTGCAACCCAAGAAGAAAATGGGGCATTATCGCTTCCAAGGATCAGATCGGCAGACAAAACACGAGGCTCCATTAAAAACTAATTCATATTGCATGCATCTTAGGCATACTTAAGAGCATCGCATTTATCATTTTTATCATACATAATTTTTTGCAGCGTTTTGAGTAAAGTTTCAACTTCAAGACGAAAAATACTCGATTCAAAAGCACATTCAAAAGTTGATGGTGGTTGCTCGACCTCACAGCGAATGGGCGACTATCTGACGACAAAACAACTTTTCAAGTCTCGTTCAGAGTCAATTTCAACCTTACAACGAATGATATTGAACTCGAAGCGGCACAATTTACTCGATATTAGATTTCAACTTCACAACGAAGGATATCCAACTCAAAGCAACATAAAATACTTGGATTTCAACTTCAGGACAAAGGATATTCAAGTCAAGGCTCAACTTCACAACGAATGGACTATCCACGATTTCAACTTCACGATGAATGATATCGTGCCAACTCTAGATTGGATTTCAACTTCACGATGAATTATATCCAATTCAAAGCTCAACTTCACGGCGAAGGGGCTTCCCAGTTTCATTCAGAGCCAATTTCAACTTCACGTCGAAGGATATTGGACTCGAAACAATACAAGCTTGGATTTCAACTTCACGACGAAGGATATTCAAGTTAAGGCTCAAATTCACAACGAAGGGGCCATCCACAATTTCAACTTCACGACAAAGGATATCGTGCCAACTCTAGATTGGATTTCAACTTCATGACAAAGGATATCCAATTCAAAGCTCAATTTCACGGCGAAGGGGTTTCCCAGTTTCATTCAGAGCCAATTTCAACTTCACGGCAAAGGATATTGGACTCGAAGCAACATTCATCATTATATTGGATTTCAACTTCACGACGAAGGATATCCAATTCAAGGCTCAACTTCACAACGAAGGGGCCATCCACGGTTTCAACGTCATGACGAAGGGAATCGTGCTCACCAGTAACATTCATATTTAGATTGAATTTCAACTTCACGACGAATGATATCCAATTCAAGGCTCAACTTCACAACGAAGGGGCCATCGACGGTTTCAACTTCACGACGAAGGGAATCGTGCTCACCAGTAACATTCATCTTTAGATTGGATTTCAACTTCACGATGAATGATATCAAATTCAAGGCTCAACTTCACAACGAAAGGGTTATCCACGGTTTCAACTTTACGACGAAGGGAATCGTGCCCACCAACAACATTAATTTAGATTGGATATCAACTTCACGACGAAGGATATCCAATTCAAGGCTCAACTTCACAACGAATGGGTCATCCACAGTTTCAACTTCACGACAAAGGGAATCATACCCACCAGCAACATTCATCTTCAGATTGGATTTCAACTTCACGACGAAGGATATCCAATTTAAGGCTCAACTTCACAAAGAAGGGGCTCTCAACGATTTCAACTTCACGACGAAAGATATCGTGTCCACAAGCAACATCCATCTCTAGATTGGATTTCAACTTTACGATGAATGATATCTAACTCAAATAAGGAGTGTTTGTCAACAAACAACTTTCCAATTTCATTCATAGTCAATTTCAACTTCACGACGAAAGATATTGAAATCGGAACAACACAACTTATACAAGAACAGGCTTCAACTTCACGACGAATGATATCCAATTCAAAGCTCAACTTCACAATGAATGGGTCATCCACGATTTCAACTTCACAACGAATGATATTGTACCCTAAAGATTGACCCAACTTCACGATGAAGGAGTCATCTGCAATACAAAAAACACTATCAAGTCTCAAATCAAAGAGAACCGGACAAAAACTTGTTGTATTTTTTTGTATTTGCCCTATCCTTCCCTTATAAACACAAGAATGTACAAAGATGGGCAGTTGTAGACACCCGTTTTTATCCGGGTCTACAAAAATATATTTATTTATTTATTATTATTATTATTATTATTATTATTATTATTATTTTGCACCCCACTAAGTTGAAAAACAATAACCTCTATCCCACTACCCCACCATTACCTCACCCACTCAAACACTACCCAACAACCATTGCTTCCCCCTTACATCATGATCGGCCACTACCCCCACTAATTTAAGCCAAATCTCATTTCTTCTTCCTATATATATATTATGTATAAAATGTCAAGGGGGACAAAAATGATTGGTAGGGGCCTCTGGTTTTTTTTAAGCTTTCATTTCCTTTGATTAACAGATGGAACACGAAGCCAAGGCCAAGCTTCTTCCTTTTTGAATCCTCCAACAAACGAAGCACCCATAAACATAAAGAATAAAATGAGCTCTCAGATTCGCAAATCTGCTGCTAGAGCTATCGGATCACTCTTTTCAGCTTCGAAGAAAGCACGCTTTTGCTCCGCAAAAGGGCAAGCAGTGGCGTCGGTTGCGAAAGCAGCAGTTTCAGTCAGTAAGTGGCAGCTTACATGGTTCAGGAGCTCGGGCTCTGAAGCTTGAAGAATTTGGACTGAATGGATCTGAAGCTGAAAATGTATGTTATTTACGAGATTTAGCAGATGCAAATGGTCCTGTTAATGTGATGAAATCTGAAACGCTGTAGTAATTCGTGGTGGGTACATTGGAATGGAGTGTGCAGTATCTTTGGCGATCAATAAAATCAACGTAACCATGGTTTTCCCCGAAGTACATTGTATGGCTCGCTTGTTTACACCAAAGATTGCAAGCTATTATAAGGAATATTATCAATCTAAAGGAATTAAGTTCGTTTAAGGAACCAGTAAGTTTGCTCCACATCTAACTTATTTCCTTTTCCATTTGTTATAATCCCTTTTATTTTGAACTCTTTGATGATCCAATTGTAATTGCAGACTCTGTTTATATATGATAGGTAAATCTCAAAGGTTTTTTTGCTTGTTTTATTTTATTTCGTTATTTTATTTGTTATTTTATTTTTTTATTTTTTTACTCAATCTTATTTATCTTTATTTATCTACTTTATTTATTTTATTATTACTACATTAATATTTTTTTATTCTTTTTCATATTTATACAATCTACCAATATTTTTGACTTTTTAGGAGATTTTTTTAATCAATTGAAGGTAAATTACTTAAATCGGGTTTTTTAAATTTAAATTTCAATTCTCGCAATTAAGACAATCAGAAAATTAATTGGTACCGAAAGGGCGGTTCAAGGGTGCTAATCATTTCTTGACCGTAACCGACTCTCAAACCCGACATATTTTTTGTAAAACGCATATCAGGTAAGATGGTGTCCGATCTACCTAAATATTTTTTAAAGTGATCTGTGGCGACTCTAACCCAATTATTCAAGTCGAAGTCCAATTCCAGGTCCAACCGAAAGACGGCCGCGACACCATGGAACTGACGTTAACATTGTTAACTATTTTGATTTAGACTTAATAGGTAATTTACCCTTTGGTTTATCTTTTAATAGTCTTACGTGATTATAAGATAGTTTATGCTCATAATTTTTCTTAATCATTAAAAACGCACATGTACTTGCAGACGCAACTGTTGGAACTCAGAACCTCAAGAAAGAACAATACTCCCTTAACCACTGAAACCACTCAATGGGTTCAGTTTATCATTTTTCAACGTAAATGTCTTAAACAGCCATGAGTTTAGAAGAAATAGAATTGAGATAAATGTGAACGTACTTGAAATACTTGTGGAAATCCATAGGATCTTGCTTAGACGTGCAATATCAAAACCATAATCCCCAGGCAGTTCTCCAGTCAGGTATCAGGATACTCATATGGGATGGGGCCAAGCCATCGAGGGCGCTATTCTCCGTACCAAAAGCTGAAGAAATATGATAATATATATATAATGTCTTCATGGAACTTACATGCAACTCGATCTCTAAATGATACATGCAGAGATAGTGCTATCATTCTAGTTCAATAGATTTAAATTTATATTTGGTATACACTCCATCTCAAGTTGGTAATTAATTTTTTTACTTGAATTGATATCTAAAATAATTTACTCTTGGATCGAAGGGGTGGGTGGGGAAGTCGCCCCTTTGAAAATTTCAAACTCTCTTATTTTAAATTTTTGTGTATTTTTATTGATAATTTTTTTTTGTCCTGTGAAATTTACAAGTTAACTATCCTCTAAAATTTTATAAGTTCGCCTCCTAACATAAATCTTATGTCTAAGTTGATGCTCCAACTTTAATTTCATCTATTGTTTTGGTACTGATATTAATGGGTTAATTTTAACGATATGTAATATAAAATTACCACATGTCAATGATGATGTATAAGAAATTTTTAAAACTTGTAAAAAATGTATCAAAAAATGGAAAATAAAAGTATACTTTTTAATAAAGAAAAACAAACAAATTAGAGAATTTCAAATCCCAACAATTTAATGACTAAAACATTCAAATTCATTCTTCCTATGAATAGTAAAAAATATAATTTAGATATGGGATTAAAGTTTTGTGATAGAAGATTGTTATGATAAAATATAGTCATCAATAATGATTTATCAACTTAAAAGCTTATTTGAACGATAAATATACATCTATTTGAATAGTTATAAGAAATTTTTCACTCAAATTAGACATGATGGAAAAATAAATTGGTAATGTTTGTGATTAATTTTTAATACATTTTATTTAGTATATTTTATCATATTTATAATTTAGGTAAACTACTATGGTAGTAATGAAACTTTTGGAATGTTTTCAATCATTAAATTTTTAGTTCACTTTTATTACGGTGATTGTCATTAGTTATGGTTAGAAAATATTTATGACACATTAAAGTCTTCTCTAAAAGATACCTTAATTTTTTTTATTGATAGCTTCCAAAGACCGAGTTTTTGAAAATCGAACGGTTGTTGGTATATCCCAACAATGGGAATGTTTCGTTTAGCTAGAATATGAACATAGTTTGGTTCCAAGTTGATTCGACAGTTCACAATGACAAGTCGAAAAGTTTTAATTTTTAATTTCGATTGGATTGTTATAGATATATTTAAATATATTTTATAATTTATGAAGATAATTTTGTTCAAAAATAATTCTTAAACATTTGACATTGAATGCTTGTACCCCTAACATTTCTCGTGCTCGAATCCGAGACCTCAAGGAATAACAACATTTTTTTAACCATCGAGGTCACAGGGTTCGTGCTATTTATTAATATTTAAATTTAATATCTATTTACATATTTAATTTTTGTTTAGTATTATAATTTTATTTTAAAATTTAATTATCAAGTTTAGATATCTATAAAATATTGTCGCTCATCTCTTTCGTCGTCGGTCTCTCACTAATCGATCGACCCCTTATTATCACAAAATTTCTAAATCCCCAACCCTAAATCCATAGAATAATTAGTTTCCAAAAGGCCCTAAATTCATTCTACTACCGCTGATGAATCAGCCATCACCACTCACCCTTTGCATCGTCAGACCCCATTACCGATTGCTCCACTTTTCCATCACTGAAAATCGACGAACGAGACACCATAAACCAACAACGAACGACTTGTGCCTACTGCACCACTCTTTCATCGACGAATGATTTGCAATGAAACGAGAGGAGTAGACTTGTAGGTTGTTCATTGCTACGACGACGAGATGTCGTTGAACGGCGTCAAACGATGGCAAACGATGAGAGGAAAAGATTTTGGGTTTCAGGGATTTTTTTAGAAAAAAATGGGGATTTAAAGGGTTTGTGAGAAATTAGGAATGAATAAATTATGATGGAATGAATAAATTTTTCAGGTCTAATCAAATTCTATTTAAGGTTTCTAATATTAAAAAATTATGAAGATGGTGACTATGAGGATGTTATGATGTTGAGAGGTGATGAAATATTGATTAATGGAAGATGAGATGTTATCATGATTAGAGACGGACGTATAATTTTATGTTATGAGGAGATAATTTATAAAATTTTAAGAGAGGTAAAAACACTTTTTCAATATAAATTAAAAAAATATTTAAAATATATATGAGTTTGAAACTTTTAGGGAGAAAACTGTCCGACCCTCCTTCTAGGTCTATCTCTGACTGTGATGAGTGAGGTGCTTGGGTTGATAGTGGGGTAGAGAGGGATGATGATGATTTGTTTTAGAATTAAATTGATAATATTTATGAATGTAAAGATTTAAATTTATTTAATTATTTAAAATTTGATCGAGTCGTTTAAGTTTATCAGATCTAGTGTGGATAAAAAATAATGAAGTCCTAACACTCAATGAGTTTAAGCTTAAAATATATTAAATATTTAATATTTTCAATTAATTCGAGTAGTTAACCGATATCAAATCGAATTAAACTTTTAAAATTGTTTGACCGTTCTAATATCTAATTATCTAACCCATTAACAGAACGAAGTTTCTATTTAATCAATTAAAACCTAACAATGAAGACCTAAGTTCAAGCCTGGAATATTACCTCTCGTTTCTTGCTTTCTGAGCTGAAGCCTGGACCCTTGAAGAATTTTCAAGAGCTTCTTTCTTCGTCTTCAACAATTGCCTCTGCAGGGATTCGCCGAGAGGGCTATTAGCGATGACTTTGACCGCCGCGAAAGGAATCGCCGAAAACACCAACACTCCCGCCAGCTGAAAACAAACATTACATTATATTATTTTCGATAAGAATAAAATTCCAAACAAATTGATTTTTTCTCTTTTAGGAAAAAAAAAAGGAACAGCGAGACACCTCTTGCCATGAAGCTCTGCAAGGAGTACATTAAGTGGACTTAGGGTTGGTGAGTTTAGTAGGGGCCTGGAAGAGAATACGGCTGAGAGGGAGCGTCGGTCTCTTCCGCCGTTGATGAAAAATGAAGATGTGGAGGAGAGCCTCAGCCATTCGATTTTAAGGCCATTGCTTCCTTCTCTAAAACTAATAAATCTCTTTACCTGTTTATGGGAGTAGGCCTAACCCGGTCCAAACAAGATAAATTGATCCGTCAGACCGGTTTATAAAATATGGTAAATCATATGGATGGTCTCATATGTTTATTTCCTATCGATTTTGGTAATCGGTTTAGAAAAAAAGTGGATTTGATGTCTTATATTATCAATTCGTTAAACATTAGCGGAAATCTGAGTTGGTAATTAAAAAATTTAAAAAGATAATCGTGTCTTTTCTTCTTCTTCTACTTCTTTGGAATGGAAATACAATCCAAAAGCTTTGCCAGTTCCATCTGTAATTAACAACTTACTTGAAGCTTCCTATAATCATGAAGATGATGATATACTGTGGGAACCAAAGAGGTCCTCTCCATATAAACACACTAGACATGTCGATGGCGATCTCCATCGAATGTCTTCGGTTTCGACGATTCATATAGTCCTTGGTCGAATGCATGGTCTCTTGTATTGGGTTTCCTCCTTCGGTCTCGGTCATCGGCAGTGACATGGACTCGAGCCACGGCTCGTTGAGCATGCCAATGTCGCCTCCGACTTCGACCATCACGGGGTTCTTCTTCAGGTACAAGAAGGGTCAAGTGAGATTCTGCTTACACGACGACACACGAGGATCTCCGTTTCTGCTGTTAGAGCTTGTCATCCCGACGGAGTACCTGACGAGAGAGATGCAGCACGAGCTATTGAGGATAGCGTTGGAGTGCGAGAGGAGCAAAGAGAGGTCGTGTTGGCTTTATGACGTGCCGGTTTGGTCCATGTACTGTAACGAGAGGAAAGTGGGGTTCGCCATAAAGAGGTAGATGAGCGGCAACGATGCGGCGGTGCTTAAGATGATGTAGTCGGTGTCGATGGGGCCCAGAGTTTTGTCGATTGGGGCAAAGTGTAGGGAGGAGTTGATGCATCTGAGAACTTGTTTTCAAAGGTTGATTGGGTCACTACACTCGCACTCGTTTCACATGATTAATCCACTAGGGTAGCACAGTTGGGAAATGATTCTAGCCATGAAAAAGTGATTTCTTTTTCCACCTATAAGCAATACTAAACACTCAAAAATTGATCTAAAATTACGAGGGAAAAAGTGATTTTTGTTATAGAAAATCAATTTTGACTGAAATTATATTTTTATCTCAAATATTATATTTTCAACTTACACCGTGATGTTTAAAATAAACATTTTATCTTTTTAAAATCATTTTTTAATAATAATATTAAACAATTAAATTTTAAATTATACTTTTCAAAAATACTTTTAAAAATATTTTAAATTATACAATATTTTTAAAACTAAGTCTGTGATAGTCAAACAAGATGAGAAGATGAAACTGGCAAAGTTTTTGGACTGTGTTCCCATTTCAATAGAGGAGGAGTAACAGTAGGAAGAAGAAGAAAAAGAAGAAAATATACATTATTTATTTAATTTTTAATTGTCAACTTAGACTACTGTAAATGGGTGAATGGAATTTAAAAATCGGACATACCGATAATGTACGGGATTAAAACTTTCCTTTTTTTGAATTGGTGATCAAAATCGATCGGATCAAAAATATAAGGAGCCACTCGTATAGTTTACATATTAAAATATTATTTTGTGTAATAATAGTTCCTTTTTTCTATGCTTAAATGCACCATTACCTCTTAAATATTCATTTTGTACTGATTTACTCCTTAAAATATTTTTCGGGAGGTTTTGCCCCCTAAAATTTAAATTATTATCTCATTTGTTCCAAAATATTAACTTCGCTAAAAAGCTAAGGATAAATTATATATTTAGTCACTTAATTATTCTCACAAGTTCATTTTGATCACCCAATATTTTTTTCTCAAAAGATCCCTAAACATACAAAAAGAGCAATTGTCATCAACAACTTTTCTTCTTCAGCGCCCACCTAACATTCTGCATGAAAAATTAGACAATCTTATCAGTTACAATCATATATATATATATATATATAAACTTAAAAAAGAAGCATGTAGCTCTTCTCCTCTTCATCTTCTTCACCAGAACTCAACTTTCCTCTGTTTTCCCTCCTCAAAATCCCAAAAAACCCTCCTTTCAATCATTCATTCATTCCCTTCAAAACACGCCATTCCAGTGATGATTTTTGAGGTTACAACGGTCAATTACAAAAGTAAAATTTAGTGGATAAATTATAGCGCTGGTCCTTTCTTCGATCTTTTTATTTTTAGTTTGATTTATCTTATTTTGGTTACCGCGTTGTTAATTCCTATTAATTTGATGGTGTGGTATGTTAGAAAAAGTGGTCCTAAATTTTAGATATAATATTAATTTAATCCTAAATTGTGGATAGAATATTATTTTAATCTTTGAACTTCATATAAAATATCAATTTAACTCTTGAATCTAGTCAAACTCCCCGCCGTCAATCGCCGCTCATCATCATTGTTGATTACCTTCGATTTTCATCATGGGTCACTGTCAACCACTATCATTTGTTACCATTAAACCCTAAAATTTCAAATTCACTCCTTTTTTACCATCTAAACGTGAATCTAATGTTCGATTCACTAGAAAAGTCCCAAACTTCACAACCTTAATATAGAAAACTTTTTTTTATTAATTTGGGGCAAGTATAAGACAATATTTTTTTAAGATAACTCTCAACCATTTGACATTGAACACTCATACCCCTGACATTCATATTATTCAAACTGGGATCTTAAGTAATAACAACAATCCTTTACCACATAGGTATTTTTAAGTTCATTAATTGAATTTTTTAATTCATATCATCTAAAATTTATTTCATTTAAGAATTATGTTCAAATTAGAGTTGATAAATTTAAACTCAATTTTAAAATTATAAATTTTTATTTAAAAAACCACAAATTTAAATATCATTTAGAATTTATAAATTTTATTTTATATATTTCAACCATTGATAATGATAATAAGTGAACTCAATTCAATCAGAGATGGATCGAGGGGAGCGTTGAGGGACAACACACTCTTAAAATTTAAAAATTTTATATATCTATTTTCTTTATATTTTTTTATTAATGATCAAATTTTGCAGCTCCTAAAAATTTATGAATTTATCCCCTAAATTTCTAATATAACTTTTTAAAAGTTCGTATTTCTAACATAAAATTATATGTTGTCTCTAAATTCAGTAATAGAAGAATATCTTATTTACTAATTAATATAAATTATAATTTAATTTAATTTATAACAAATTATATTTAATTTTTTTATACAATTGATTGTCCTCGGAAGATTTTATTTATTAGGATTACTTGTTTTTTGATCCATGAGTCACCGATTCAAATTGAGAATTTTTTTTATATAAATTTACGATGAATATAAGATAATATATATTTATAAATCTTAATAATCTGACATTAAACATTTTTATATTTCTGCATATGTGGTACCTGAATTCGAAATTTTAAGAAATAACAATAATTTTTTAATCATTAAAATCATTTATCATGCGTATTTAAATCATAAGGTAATTGGTTCATATGTGTTTAGAAGTTATGCTAAATATAAATAAATTTTAAAATTTTATAATTACTATATTAGATATGTATCTAATTTTCTGCTTGCTATATATTGGAGCTTTTAATTTCGATTGAGACGTTCAAGATACATTAAAAGGTGGAAAGATGATTCATACGTAAGAAGACATCTTAATCAAGAAATATTTGGATCTCATTCGAAAATTCATCATAAGTCTGCTAATATTCCAGGCTTCAAAATGAACTTCAATTTCTTATTTAAAATCACCTTTTTTTTTTACTTTTTTTAAATTGCATCTAAAACATTACCATGTGTACACACGTGAATATCAAACGTCGTCCTTGATAGGCTGATACGTTTTGAAATTCTCTCCGACATATCCAACTAATTCTAACCCATACCTCTTCAACATGAGACATCCCCAATATGCAGTGACATATCCACATTAAGTTTAGGGTGGACACTTCAATTTTTTTACTTATTTTACTAACTATATTCACCTGAAATTTTATTTATGTACACCTCATAGAAAAATTTACGCTATTAATATATATGTGCTAACCTTAAAAAAATATTTTTAAACCCACCACTGTCGGTATGTACCCAAGATAAATGTCTCGTACCCATCTTATAGACGTAATGGGTACTTGAAGTACCCATGCAACAAAGGTAAAAATCATAGTTAACATATTCGGAAATAGAAAGCTTTGGAATTCCTTTCGATTCTCCTGGATATTACAGTGTTTTTAGTCTTAAAGATTCCAAGAATACTCATTGACTCTCATCTTCTCCGGTTTCAAGGCAAATTCTCAAAATGGTATTGAAAATAAAAATCCTCCATATGGATTCCCATTCAGTGCACCTTCCCAAATGCTTTTCATGGAGCAAATATGTTGGATTGTTGATCAGTTTGCCTTATTTCTTGAAGCATCTCCACTACCTTCTTCATCTTTGGTCGTTTTGCAGGCGTGCTGTCCGTGCAGAGTAAAGCCACCTTCAAAGCAGCAAGCATTTCTCTCCTCCAACCGAAGGATACGGTGCTCAGCTTTGCATCGAGTATCTGCTCCGGGGTTTCCCCTCTGGCCGGAGCACCGTGAACCCATTTCACCAAGTCTACTCCTTCACCGAAATCCTCGTCGACGGGTAATCGGCTGGTGAGTATCTCGAGCAACACAACCCCGTAGCTGTATACGTTTCCCGGTGCAGTGACTTGCATTGTGTAGGCATATTCTGGAAGATCGTGCAAATGGTGGTGAGTATGGTAATTTTAAACCATATGAACGGTGAGTTATGGTGATTACCTGGGGGATGTAGCCGAAGGAGCCTGCAACAGCACTAATACTTGCAGTACCTTTGGATGGATCTAAGAGCTTCGATATTTCTATCTCCCGAGCAATGGCTTAAAGTCCGCATCTAAAAGTGCATTACCCGAAGAGATATCGAGGTGGAT